ACACTCGAAGTAGATTGGTCCCTCTAAGCGAGATCCCAATTTCGTCGGTCATCCGACATGACGTCTCCGTTCCCATACGTAACCGAGACGTTTTGTTATTTACATTTACATTATATTTAAATTTTGTCATTTAGCAGATGCTTTTATCCAAAGCGACTTACAAATGAGGACAATAGAAGCAATCAAAACCAACAAAAAAGCAATAATATGCAAGTGCTATATTAGTATATTATTATAGTGTTATATTTCAATTTCACAAAGAAATGTGCAGCATTTTGTCCAAGCAATAATAAAAGGACACATTTAATTTATAATTTGTCTTAAATCTCATTTTGTAAAAAATAAAATAAAATCGTGAATCGAATCGAATCGTGAAATCAAAATCGTGAATCGAATCGAATCATGAGTTGAGTGAATCTTTACATCCCTACTCAAATGTAAATATTCTAATATTTTGAGATACTGGATTTTTGACTTTCATGAGCTGTAAGCTCTAATTATCAAAATTAAAACAAAAACACTTTCGAAATGTTTTACTTTACATGTAATGAATCTAGAATATATGAAAGTTTCACTTTTTGAAATAAGTTATAACTTTTTCACAATATTTTTTATTTTTATTTATTTATTTTGCAAAGAACAGGCAAGAAATGACTTGTCACTGCACTGACTTCAACATAGCTCAGACGTTTTACTAAAAAAAAAAACCAGAAAAACCTGACACCCAATAGAAGGTTGCTGAAATACCTGCACACAGTTCTTGTGCCAATTTTATGTTTATGAAGACATGTTTATGTTAGTAGACCTGTTTTTGAAAAATGTTGAGATCCCCGAGTTCTGTTTTATTCTGGTGTGCTCTGTCTAGTCATTTTTAAATACACAATGAACATCCAATTTCTCAAAGTTAATCAGTCATTTAGACAAATGTGTATGTAGTTTTGCACATCCCTATTGTGAATTAAACAGTACATGCACAAATGATCAAATGTTTCTTAAGAAACACAACAATAGATACATGGTTTTTGTAGCCTGTAGTCTTTAGACTTTGCAGTTTCTCAGTTGAGATGTTCCTGTGGGCCTCATTCTCACTCCTCACTTAACAACATCAGTGCTAGAAAAGCAGTTTTATCGTGTTACAACGTCTACTAGTTATTTGGTACTTGAAACATTCTAACCTGCTGTCATGTGCACCTCTACAGGTATAGTTACTGGAAAAAAATTAACTTTAAATGTTTTTGACTGAATTGAATATTCTAGTATTCACAGCAACAATGAACAAAACACATTAATTATCTAACAGCAAAAAAATATTAATCTAAAAGATGTTCATGATAACCATGAGAGTTGAGTCTTACCGTCACCCATTGGGACGTCATGGGCCGTGCTATGGGATTTCTCTGGCATGGCACCGAGGCCTCACTCCTGTAAATTAGATTAAAATATGAAGTCAACATCTCTGAGCTCCATTACACTAAATGCTGTTATTCATCAATATGTTTTTGATTTTACATAGGTTACATACATTTTGGTTTTTCACTGATTAATATTATGTGTTAATTGATCTTTTGAAATCTTGTTTAATACTGTCACACTAATTGGGATCCTCATGGTTTTTGTCTCTGACAAATATTGCCCTGATATAATCTAAATCTATATTTTGATTATATCAGGTATATAGCTTTGATTTGGATTCTATTAGTGAATTTGTCTGTCATTAGTCAATTAATTAAAGAAAAATAAAGAAAAATGCCTCACACACTGTGGTACAACAACCACACCAATGAGCTTAAGAAGGCTGCTCGGAAAATGAAGTGCAGGAGGAGTACAAACTTAGAGGTTATTTGAGGGGCATGGAGGGAACAGTGTCTCTAGCTACAGATGGGCTCTGAAAGCTGCAAGGACCATATTTCAGTGCTCTCAGAAAATAACCAAAACAATCCTAGGATCCTATTCAGTACAGGCTGACAAAAAAACAAAGCTATGACAAAACCTCATATTTCCCCACAGCATAGAAGTAATATTTTTACAAATGTCTTCAATCATAAAATGTCATGTAACAGGAAGAACTAACAACACTTATCCAATCCTCAAGGCAAGCATGTATGTAACTACTGAAAATTCTGCTTCCTGTAATCTTAGAACCTCTTCTCCTTATCAACTCATAGCTTTGCTTAGAGCATGTCACAAAAGTTTCAAGTTGGCAGTAATAAATGCCAATATCAAATATTCCACAAATCAAAAATATTTTTTTTGTAAAGTTGTCATCACAACTATATTTATAACTGCAAAGAAATTATATTTATGAAGAATTTTAGTCAGAATTTAGACCCCACCACAGTTCAGAGACTGCACTTGTCAGAGTCACAAATACCCTGTTCATATCATCTGACTATATCTGCATCGCCCTGCATTGTGGGCAGGCATTAGCATGGTTTATATCAGGGGTGGCGAACTCCGGTCCTGGAGAGCCGCAGCCCTGCAGAGTTCAGCTCTAACCCTAATTAAAACTCACCTGCCTGTAGCTTCCTAGTAACCGTTCAGACCTTGATTGGCTTTTTCAGGTGTGTTTGATTAGGGTTGAAGCAAAATTCTGCAGGGCTGCGGCTCTCCAGCACCGACGTTCGCCACCCCTGGTTTATATCCTCGCTATCAGTTTATTTGTGTAAATGAAGAGATGTCAGATAAAACAGGTATGGTAAGTTTGGTATGGAATGCCACAGGTATCAGTATTAGGCCCCCTGCTTTTTCATTGTACAGTAAATGTTCATTCAGTATGATCACATTAGCCCAAAATTATCACCTCTACATTGGTTACCATGAAACAGGTTTCATATCAGTTTTAAAATTTTGCTAATTACTTACAAAGCCTTGAACAGCCTAGTTCTGCAGTACGTATTCAGTCTTTATCATGCTTTAATCCCTCACGGCCACTGCTGTCACAAAATTCTGATTTGTTGACCCAAAATTACCCCAAAAAAAGTACCACAAAGTACCACAAAGGAGGTAGATCCTTTCCTACCTGGTTCCTAAACTCTGGAATAGTTTTCCTAGGACTATGCAAGACTCAAAACACACTCTACGTTCACATAATGTTTTTTTTCTAACTGGGTCATTTGTATAGGCGGTTATATTATAAATATAGAGAAAGTTGATTCATAACAATAAGCAAAAATTAAATGCATCAACAGCCAGGACAGCTAATTAATCCTATGATGGACGTATCGAAATAAATCCACTTCCTCTTGTTCAGGACAGGCCATAAAACAAAGGGAACATGAGGATCCCACACCCAGTCACCATTTCCTTAGAAACAAATGATTCTGCCAACCAATATACCCTGTCATTTATCCTTTTGTGTATGTGTGGTCATTTGTTTGACCTGTCAGCAGTCAGCATATGTGTATATATCAGCATTTAAGTCTGCTCTTTCTGTGAAGATATCTGCAAGCATTTTCTCTCCCTCTAGTTTTGTACGAGCACTTGTAACTGCTGGGATGCTTTTGAGTGTCCATTAATGATTTCCTTCTATTATCTGACACTGAGAGTAAAAAGCTTGCTTAGATCAGCACACAGCTGTGATCTGACCTCTACATGTTGAAACCAAAGCCCATTCCCCCACTCTAATACTACAGTATTGCCTAATGTGTAACATAAAAGCAGTACAGAATTTACATCGTCATCATCAATGCCATACAGCAATTCTTAGAAAACTTAGAATAATGTGTGCATATCTTCTTGTCTTCATATCACACTTTAACTAGCAAAAATCTCCTGTGTCTATCCAGACAATTTACTAAAATTAGGATCAACAATGTTTTTGACACAACACGCTCTAAAACATACAACAATTTTGCTTCTGTACTAAATGTACAGTAGCAAAAACAGCCTGTTTAATTGTAAGGAGTTAGGGAGAGAGAGTAATTATCAATAAAACTAAACTATAGTGCTATTTCAGACTAGACAAGATTGTATTACACAGACATAATTTCACATCTTATCCAAATTAAAGACAACAAAATCAGTAATAAGTCCAGTTATGGACTGTTTAGAAAGTTCAGAAGGTTTTTTTTTTTTTTAGATCCTAATTAATTCCTTCCTTTAATTATATACAATGTGTTATATTTATATGACATTATTTCCACAGGTGTGATGTATACATTCAGAACAAATATTTATTAAGTATATGCTGCTTTAAACATGTCTTTGGCAAGTGTATTTGATATGCAAGATGTTTTGTTTTGTGCCTTGCAAGACAATACATGCTTGCATGACTATCCCAGGAACAAAAATGTTTTGCATGGCGGTATACTTGATTTTATGCAATCTATGGTTGTATCTGAAAAAAAAAAAAGTTAATTAGGAGGTACATACTTTCAACCCAGTAGTGTACCTATTATGTAATCCATTTGGAAGATTACACCCTGTCAAGGGCTTGGTAACACCCTTGCTTTAAGTTACTCATTCCCATGTTGTTCCAAACCCACAAGAATTTTGTTCATCTTCAAAACATAAATTAAGATAATTTTTAAGAAAACCTGAAATATTTCTGTCCCTCTATAAAAATCCATTCACCCAAAACATGGACATTTTAGAAAATTCTAGGGCTGTCGCGATTCGTCGATTTTTTTAGACTATTAAATTTTTTAAAATCCTCGACTTCATTTTGCTTGCGTCAAATAACCGGCAAAATACCGGAAGTGGCGCATTTCACAGACGAGAATGTTTAAAACACATTATTAGTCTGTTTTACAAGGCTGCATGATATATTAAACCCATTTAAAAATCATAATTAAGCATAATTGTGAATTCACAAATGCTACGATTTAATTAAATAATTATATGCGATGCAGTTCTAATACAGTATATGCACTTTAATTATTTACATGTCGGCATGAAACGGAAGTTGCGATCGTCTTTTCTTCTCTGCTGTGACATATATCCGAGTGAAACGGCATCTGAAATGAGAGGGCGGGACTTGATTTCATCCTTCGGCAATTGATTGGATTGTTGGAAGTTGGGGCGTTGCCAAAAAAATGGAGGCAATTCTGAATGCCAGTTTGCAGTTAACGTTAGTTGTGGGGGATTTCTCTCCACTGGATTCACCGCCGACACCCTAGCATGAATAAATGTTTATTTTTTTTATTGAGGATGACGACGACGATCAACGGCACAAAACATGCCAAAACAGTGCACGTGCGAGAGAGAGAGAGAGAGAGAGAGAGAGAGAGACTGCCTGAATGACTGAGAAAAAAAAAATATTAGTTTGCGATGTTCTAAGAGTAATGTCCTAATATCTTTTCAATGTTTAAGGGTAACGTACTCCCATATGACTGGTATCAGTGCTATAAAGTGAAGCATCAGCTTCAGCTTTTCCCCCTGTCGTTTATCCCAGCGTTTACCCCTCACGTCACTAGCTCCGCCCTTGCGCCATAGCTCGTGACCGGAAGAGTAGAGGAGTCGTTTTGAGGGGGAGGGGAGGTTAACGTTTTTGATTAAAGATTACGAGGGCACATGAATTTGAAAAAAAATAATGACGTGAACGGATAAATTATTTATAATAAACACTGCAGTATTCCATCAAAAAATATGAATTGTCAATTTTGATTTCATGCCGACTTTAAGTACATGCGTCAGACAGCGGCTCCGTTCACAGTAGTTCCACAGGAACTGTTATCATTTACATGTGTGGAGCGTCTCAAACTCCATCTCTGCATGTTGTTGTGAGTTTGGGTTTATTATAACGTCCATCTGGGAACGCAACATGTGCCATTTCATCAGATTTGTAAGGTAAAT